TATATGTATATGTATATGTATATGTATATGTATATGTATATGTATATGTATATGTATATGTATATGTATATGTATATGTATATGTATATGTAGATATATATGTATGTATATGTAGATATATATATGTAGATATATATATATAGATATATATATATATATATATATATATATAGAACTCCTATAGAAAGAACTCCTCTGATGAAGCTTCGTTTAAAAGGTGACTATCACCACAATATGAAGATTTTGGAAATTGGTGGTGATGAACTTATTGTTGTTCGACGACCGGCAGAAGACGAGACTTGTACTATCGACGACTTCCTTCCATGTGAGTTTTGCCTGGGTTTTATGAAAAGATGGGACCTTTGGAAACACCAGTTGGCTTGCGAGTTTAATCCAAAGCCTCAAAACGAGCACGGCAATCAGCAAGTCCAACTGAAGGCAAAACTCATGTTAGCTCCTACAATAACTGGCAGCGAAGACGAAAAATTGAACAGAATACTTTCGGTCATGAAAAACGATCCTATTACCAAAACTGTCCAGAAAGACCCACTGATCAAGGCATTTGGATCAGTCATGATTGAAAAGAGCGGACCAAAAGACGGCCAGTTCATTTCGCAGAAAATGAGAGAGCTTGGTCGCTTGGTAGAAGGCTTGATGTCGGTTGAAGAAAATAAAAAAGTGTGATACCGTCGTCACAGCTGTACGCAATAAAATTAATTCTGAAAATAATAAGCTCGAAGTGAGCATTCCATCGCTGGCATTAAAAGTGGGTTACTCCATACAAAAATGTGCCTCCATTTTAAGTGGCCAAGCTTTGCATACGAATGATGATCTTGCATTGAAAGATAGTAAAAACTTAAAAAAACTGATGAAGTCAGAATGGGAGGATTGTGTTTCTCATCATTCTTTAGCTACCCTGCATGAAAGAAAATTTAACAAAGTTGATGTGCCTCCTCTTGCCGAAGATGTTACTAATTTAAAGAACTTCATTGAGCAGAAAATCGAAGAGGAGTCCAGGGTTCTCCACAAATGTGAGTACAACAGGTAAAAGTGTTTTCTCAACAGGTAAACCATCGTCGCGGGTTCATAGACCCCGCTCCCTAGGGGGTCTGGGGCATGGTCCTCAGGAATATTTTGAAATTTTGTAGCTTGAGAATCAATGCCGTTTTTGGCATTTTCAGAATCGAACTAAGTACAAGCGGTTTATGGACTGATGATTAAGTAATTTTACACAACTTGTATACTAACGTTGTACTGAGAGCAAAGGTTTGCCATTTGTAAAGAAATGTATAGTTGCACTATATAAAGATACATAAATTAAACTTATGAACTATTAATGGCATCATATTGATATCAAATGATATCATTACTAATAAACAATAAAGTTCGAAACTCTAGCTTCAAACGTTTGCTGAAACCAACTGTAATTGTGTAATTACTAATACATGTGTAAGTCTAGGACACTAGGACGTAACCTAACTAGAACTCTAGTTCTTCATCCGACAATCCAGATTCGTTCGCAGAAAGATCATCATTATCTTCTATGCAGTCGTTATATTCATCTGGGGACACGTTCATTAAAAATAGAATCTGCGTGTCATTCAAAGCAGCATTATCTATTCCAGCAGCGGGGTCTACATAGGCTGCTTTGTCCGTAACAGTTTTAGCAGCAAGGTCACCATCTGGATCAGACTCTGGATCCTCATTTAGGTCAACCTCTATCTGCTTCGGTGAACCATCTGCATTTACCGAAAGTGAATCCACCTTGAAGTAATTGAAGAAGATATTGATTAGGAAGTATCATGTATATATGTGTACAGACTACTAATACTACATTAGCAGTTCGTTAACTGGACCATTACATATTTGATTTTGGATAGATAATTATATAACTTGTGATAAGCAAATACTTTTGCAACAGACAGTCAGTGAGTGTCATTGTCTATGAAATAAATTTTTTATAGCAATATTACACTAAAAAATAACGTTTTACTTAATAAAAAATTTGAGAAATCGGCAGTTTTTTTTACCCGCAACATAGGTTCAGAGTCAGACTGAGTACCAGTGCTCACAAACACTTTCCTGTGTGAAGAGACAAACCCTGGTGCTCTTTTCGGTAACTTCCTCCTATCCGTTTTTTTCTTGTCGAGCCATAGCTGAACAGCCTCCCGAATGAGCTGATCGCACTCTTCTGTGCAAATTTCAGGGCCATTTATGGATATGTGAAGTAGACTTTCTAGCATTTTATTTGAGAGGCGAGACCTGAGTCTTGTTTTAATTCTCTTTATCGCGCTACCGCCACGCTCCGGCCAGGCGTTTGATATTGGCAAGCTCAGGATTGCTTCTGCAAATAAACTAAGAAGTGGGAAAAGGAGCTTCATATGTACAAGTTTCTTCAACACAACTTCGGTTTGTGTTTCACCCACCAGCTTACTTGGTTCAGGAATCTTGAACTTAGCCATGTGGAACTTGAACAACTCGAACTCTGCAACCACTTCGGGTATTCTATTTGGAACATATATCTTTCCAATATCGCTGATTTCGCCTTTCCCATATTCCGAAAACTCTGTTGAGTCTACAGCAGGCAACAAAGAAGGATCAAAGATCGAGAACAGAGAAAACAATGGGAGACTTTCTTGAAAGCGTTCATCAAGATGTTGGGTAAGAGCAGCGACATATCGATGAAGCAGGTTATCCACCTCAACAAGACCACACTCTGTAACTTGTACTTCGACACCTTGGACAGACAGACGACCATTGGGTTTCAGATCTTGGACAGCATCATGGATTGCTTTGTGACTA